CATGGTGGTGCCATGCTAAAAGAACAACACGTCACTTAAACCTACGCTAAAGCTACAGAAATTGAAGTGACGTGGGGCTGGAATAAAAGAAATAGATGAGATCATGATAATGGCAAAGTTCCAATCATACGACGTTCATAGGGTTTCTATAAGCTGTAGTTGATTTTCTTACCCATAATAACTAGTTGTTATGTGTCGTCGAGTTGCTTGCAACTCCTAGCGACCCTATGTACAACAGCGCTAGTACCTGCTCTAACTTGTGCCAATCTTATTGTCTCTGGCACACCTATCTCTATTTCTCCAGTTACTATATCAGTCCATCTCATCTGGAATCTTCCTCTCCTGTGTTGTCCTTCCACCCTCCCAAGCATGATGTCCTGCTCTAAGGACTGGTTCCTCCTTGCAACATGTCCAAAATAGGTCAGACGAAGCTTTAGAATCTTTGCTTCCAAGGAGCAGCCTGGTTTTACCCTCTCTAGTCCAAACCAGTTTGTTCTCCTAGCAGTCCATAGTATAATTCAATATTAACTAGTACAGAATATATAATCTAGAAATTTATTTCTCATAAAAGACTGGATGAGTCAAGGGGGATATGTCAAACTGGGGGAAGACACACACACACACACACACACACACACACACACACACACACACTTTGTAGAAGAGAAAAAGGGTTTTCTGTGTTTTGAAGCATGACTATGAGCTCATAAGAGAAAAGTTACATTTTTAAAAATGAAAAATAAACCACAAAGCAACACTGAGGCAAAACCAAAACAAAGCATAAACAAAGACTGGACAGGTATTTTTTTGAAACATGTTTTCTAAGAACTATTATGCCTAATAACTGATGAAAAATACAAAATGATTAGAAACTCACCAAAATCTATGTTTGATAAGTGGATATGATAATAATTCATTTATAAAAGAGAGGATATTAGTAAAAAATTAGTGGAAAGGGAAGGATTAGACAAAGATAGTAATAAAGGAATTCAAAGTAAAACAAGATGCCATGTTTCCCTATCAAATCAGTATATCTTAAATATGGACATATTTTGTATACATTGCTTTCACACCAGATCTTTCCCCTTTCCTTTACCCACACCTCCCTATACCCATCAATTTGTGTGACCCTATGATTAAGCCCTCCCCCCTTCCCAACTTGGATCCTTGTACTCATTCTCTAACAGTGGTTCTATACAGAATTTGTTTTTATGAGACTGAGTTAGTTCACATAGCATGATATTCTCCACTCCCTCCCATGTTACGTAGTAATTTACAAAATCATTGCTCCTGCGTGCTGCATAGTATTCTACTGTGTGAATGTATCATAATTTCTCAGCCAATTTCATTGTGGTTGGGCATTTGGGCTGATAGCTTAATCTTTAATGTTGTTACTGTTATGTCCATCGAGTTGCTTGCAACTCATAGTGACCTTATATACATTAGCTTTGAAACCTTCTCTATCCTGTGCCAACCTTATTGCCTCTGACATACCTACCCTCATTACCCAAGTCACTGAACTAATCCATCTCATAGAAATATGGAATGTTTCATGAATTTGTGTGTCCTAAGAATCTTTAAAATGTTAATTTACCTTGACTTACAAATTCTATAATCAATATTCTATCAAATAAAACAATTCTTAAAGCAGAAAAATGTACATACAGCACAAAAATGTTCATTGCAATGCTATTTAGAAAAAGGAGGAAAGGAAGGAAACCCCTTATTATTTAAAGAATCATTGCATGCACCATGCAAACTCTTTTATGCCATTTGTATTGAAATCCCACAACAGCCACATGGGATAGATACTAACACCATTTTACAGAAAAAAATGCTTTGAAAGATTATATTCTCCACAGGAACTGTGTGAGGTTGAATGAAAAAGTGGAAAAAAGCATGCATGGAAAGATAAGAATATTTGAATAAACAGGGGTAGATTTATTTGATGATTTTGTTGATAGGTGGCAACAAAGTGAGTTCAGTTCACAGCATCCCTATGAACCACAGCTCCAAACCCTGCCCCATCCTCAGCTCAGGGCAGACACTGTGTTTATTTGAAAGATCTCTTAAATTTTTTTATAATGAAAAGGTTTATGTGGGGAAAAAGGGATAAGTTGTTAACACAGACAAACCATAATCTGTAATATTATTCTAATATTAGTAACATTAAAATATAAAATAAAAAATCTTAAAAAAGACAAAAGACGTCCTGAATTAAATATATGAAACAGTATCTGGCTCAGAAATAACACTACTAAATGGAGTTAGCTGGTGGCTCCTCGGAGAAGGAAGCATTAACAATGCTATCAAATCCTGTGCTCAAGGCGAACCACTTAACAGTGCTCTTAGTTGCTAATGTTTTCCAAAGCAGATCAGCAGGTCTTTCTTCTGAGGTGCCTCAGGACTCAAACCTCCAACCTTATGCCTCCAACTGAGTGTGTTTCCTCTATCGCCCAGGGACTCAGAAAACAAAGCAGAGGGCAGTTATATAGTGGAGAGGAGAAGATGAAGGAAAGTTTAGCAAGGCCTTCTGAAGGGCTCCCAACCAGTTTAAGCAGTTTGGCTAATACAGGAGACAGAGAATGCAATTCAGAACAGCCATGGTAAATCTTCTATAACGAGTAGGGCTGTAACTCTCTTCATGGTAAGTTGCAGGAAAAATCATAAATTGGTTATGGTTAAAATGTCAGAAGCCTCCAACCCATTAGAAAAAAGTAATGAATTATTGGGTTGCAGTTGACTCTGGGCATCACACAATGTTTTCAGCGAGAAGGCGGAGGTGGAGACAAGGAGTAAAGTAATTTTTGCTCTGTGAATATTTCAATTAGGCAGCTGGAAAATTTGGGTGGAAAAAACACAAATCTTTGCTTTCATGTTATTAGAAGAAAACATCTATCTAGATTAGCTTTAGGGGAGAGAGTGCTGGGTAAACACATGCTGTAAGGGCAGAAAATGCCACTTATGTACACAGGCATGTAACAGCACACACAGCTCTAAGCCCCTGCAGAACACTAATCTCCCAGTGAATGAATTTTAGAGCCTTGTGGAAAACTTTATAACTATCTTAAGTATAACGGTAAAAGCTGAATGGCAATCCCGAAGGCACACAGTTCAAACACACGGGATGTCCTCTCATCCAATTAACTACCTCTGAAAACCCACCAGCGGGTCAACTATGGCTCGGTTCCAAGTTAATGGTAAACAACAACAAAAGTGTTTTATAACTAAATTTTTCAATTGGTTTTTTTTTTCAATTGGTTTTATGCAATCATTCAGACACATTTTGTTTTATAATTACAACTGATCAAGGACATTTATGACAGTGTTTCATCAGATTCTCACTGTGGCTTGTCTTCCCTTTACCCTACTACCCATTCCCTCTGAGCTGTTCTCCTCCCTCTCTTCTCATCTCTATCAACGTTCTAGGATTGCTTCTGTGTTCTAAATCTTTCAGTCTTTACTTTTCTCTAATTCCTCTGCTTTATTCACTCTTTTGGTGGTTTGTTGCAAATGAAAGCATCTAAATACACACACAAATACAATACACATATACCCACACAAAACCACATATACACTTACACATATATTGCTGCTTTTGTTGTGTGTGCCATCGAGTCAGAATCAACCAATAGCTGACTCTCAGTGGGCTGTCAGAGGCAGTAAATTTCACAAAAGAACACTGCTCACCTTTGTTCCTCAGAGCAGCTGATGAATTCGAACCACGTACCTTTACATTGGTAGCCCAGTTGCTTACTACTCAGCCACCAGAATTCCACACATAATAGCACTCCAACTCATTTGTAATTTTTCACGTATGTTTACAGTTGACATAAACACAAAACAATAATAGAAAGGAAATAGCAGGCATGGCCACGTGCACAATACACAGGTACTTATCAAGTCTCCAGAGAAGCTGTGTATCACGGCTCAAACCAGTACTGGTGCTTACCTGACGGTCAGAGGTAAACAGCTGTGGTAACAATAATAACTGACTGCCCAACGCTCCAAATATATTTCCAATTTTCTGGGGTCAGGGACTATTCCTAGTCTATTTACCACTGTTGCCTTAGATAGAGACTCAGTGATTATTTGCTGAATGAATGAATAAATGAGTGGGTTGAGTGAATATGCAAATTCTATTTTTCTCTCCAGATATAGCTCTATTCCCACCTCTTTGATAACATCTTCTCTCAGAGACCCACTGACTGATCCTTCCGGAAATTACTACATGGTAGTCTGTACCATTACTTACCACTGGATTCTAGATATTGATTTTATACTAATTATTTCCTGTTGCTGGCTTTTTCCTATTAGGCAGATAAGCTCCTCCAGGACACTTATACCTGTGTATATTTATTCCATTTCTGAAAGGACATGTCACAGGGAAAAGAAAATTCCCCAATAAGCATGCATTTAATGGAATTACAAAGCATTTCATTTTTACATGGTGATATTTCTAAATATTCCCATCTAATACACTGAATTATAATTTCAAAGTGCGGCAGAAAGAGGATGTGGCATTGACGTGCTGGGTTTCTCCATCGACCACTTAGATGCAAGCAAAGTCTCTGACCTGGGGTCCTTTGTTTCCCCACTTGCAAAATGAGAGTAATAACAAGAGCAACAACAGTAACTGTCTACCTTCACAAAGGAGGAATCGGATGGGATAATGTAGGTGGCAGGATTTTCCAAATTGGAAGGCATATACTAGACATTCCATTTCAGCAATTTAAAAAAATGTACCTGATACAGCAAAGTTGCAGAAGACAAACACTGTGCATAGCAATGACAGTAAAGGTGGATTTTTTTCTGAGAAGAGTTACTAGGCAGAAGACCAGAGTGAGGAGGAAAAGTATCCCAAGTGCAACCTGCCAAGCCTATCCTGGTCAGAAGTCCAAGTCTAGGATCAACACTGCTGTGTGGGGAGATTACTGGCACCTGTAACCCACGCCCCCTGGCACCGCTGCATGCATCTTCAAATCCAGAACACAGCTTACCAGACACGAGCTGCTGTCCAGGCAGCCCCACAGGAACCATGCCCAAGTTATTCATGGCTGTGGCCCAGGCTGTGGGATCGGTCACGGACATGTTGAGCTGGGTGGTGTCTATTGCTATGCTCCCCAAACCATCAGCTGCTGTTGGGAAAACAAATGAAGACTTTGTGTTAACGGGCAAGAGTAGGTTTTGTTTGTTTGTTTGTAGGGAAATCATGCTTCTGAAGATGGGAGGCATCGTTTAGCATATTCCCACCCCCACCCATATACACGAGTACTATATAATCTGTGGTAATATTTTCTCCAGCCATAAGCATAAAGAGTTTCTGAATATATTTTGAAGGGAAACTTAATGGCACATAGTTTACATGATAAACAATAAACTATTGAAGAGGTACCTCTTTAAATAAAATAAAAAAGAGGACCCTTTCGCCACTGGAAAGGCATGAGTTCAGTTACAAGACTGAGAGGCAAACTTCCTGAGTAAAGCAGTCAACTGACTTGCAGACCAAAAATAAACCGTTTTCTCTGCCAAGTGTATTTCTGAAGCTAGCATGTCTTCTAACTATCTAATACATTCTCAAGGGGGAAAAATTATCTAGTAGTAAAACTAGCCTTGACTAATTTTACTGTCATGTTGTGACATAGTCTTCCTTTTCATTTGTTAACATTACACTAAGAAAACACAAATGCCTGTTTAAAGTGGAGTTTTCCAAATATTCTCCCAAACAAGAGACTCCTTCCAGAACAATACAAAGAAATATTTTAAAAAAAGAATATCGTACAGAGCTGACCATGGCTAAATACGTTAACTTTGACTTAACATGCCTTGATTTCCACCAGCCTTGTTGTCCCTAGAGGGGGCAGGTTGCCAGACTCCTAGCAGTCATTCCACGGTGGACTTAATGCTTCACTGCATCCTGAACAGCCACTGATGTTTACCTGCAGCCATCATCTGAGGAAGCTCCTGGGACTGCTGAGTAATGCTGTCGAGTCCACCAGCATCTACCACTGGGTCAGGTGCATCCCAAGAAATAAGGGTCCTGGGATGGCTGGGGGCAGGGTCCCCAAAGGGGTCATCAGATTCTGCAAAAGGGGAGAGCGGTGTGATAAGAAACTGTGAGATACAAGGTGGGGGGGGGGGGTCCGCAAGGCTTAAGTCATTCTTTATTCAAAAAAGTGATACATACAAACAAAACCAAAAAGTCAACCAGGAGCAACTACTCGTGATGGGCACAGAGAGGAGGCTGCTTCCACCTCTGCGCTGTCCTGAGAGACAAGATGGTCAGAGCACCTAGAAGCGGGCCTGTAGAACAGACAGCCCGGCTCCTGCTAGTGTCAAAATGCCTTGCCTCCGACTGAAGCCGCTTCACAAACGTGGGCTTATCAGCCCCTGCACAGCCTTCTCCACACACTCCACATCAATGGAGAGGCCAGACTCTGAACTAAACATGATTTTTTCTTAAGTTAAAAATTAATTGATGTTGTTATTTTGGAAGACGGCCGTCTGTGAAATGCATTGAGAGTGTGGAAAAAGAGAGAAAAAGAAAAATTGTAAGGAGGAAGAAATAAAGCAAATATCCATTCACCTAGAGGCTGGCAAAGGAGTCGATCTGAAGCACAATAGTCAGAAAAGAGGAAAAGAAAAGGTACACACTGTCCACAAAAGATCCAGAAAATGTCTGGGAAGCAAACGAGGCACATTTGTTCTAGGCTTTAAGAGCTGACAAATATTAATTGTTCACAATAACACTTAGTCTGAATCTCCTCTAATATACATAAATACACACGTGGAAGACTTCTACAAGCACGTCTTTCTAAGAAAATACAAAAATGAAGTTATAAAGAGTGCCCTTACAAAATTCCGCTTATAGAATCCTGTGCCCTCTACTCACCCTCTAACACACAGTAACACCTAGTGTTTGTATAAATATATTTTAATGCACTTTCAACAGTTCAAAGCTGGAAGACGAAATGTCTTTCAAGAGTTCAAAGCCAGAAGACTAATTAGTTAAATGCTTGACTTGGCAATATTGGATCTTTAAGCAGACTAAATCTAAAAACTGAACAAAAAAGAATTTACTTTTTAATAATGGTAAATTTGGAAATTTTTCTAAACCCTACTTCTGTGACATGGTCATGATTATTTTAGAATTATCAGTGTATTTAAATAGAGGCTTTTAAGTTTGTTATTTATTTTTAGGTTCTGAGCTGCAGGAATCAGCCAATATCTTTGAGCACTGTATTATCAAAGAGAACTTACTGCCACTTGAGAGGACTTCGGGTTCAAATGGAAGCTCTGGCCTCATTCATTCAATTCTGGGAGAATAACCAGCCATTTATCTCCTATGAACTCTACAATCCCCTAGCCCTCAAGTGGAGGTTCTCATGGGATAGTGGGGAGTATTTTGGGGGCTTTCCCCATCCCCCGCCTTTATTAAGCCATCAGGGAGACAAAGCAGATTCACCAGTCAGCAGTGAATGATTTAAACTTAGGGATCAAATTATGCTTAGAAAAAATATTTTATAACTTGCAATCAAACTCTATTACCTAAATGAATTCAGAACTTGCTTCTCTGTTGCGCATCAATTATCTCCAGCAATGGAAACCATCAGACAAAGAGACGCCTGCCATACGAAATAAAATTAGGAGCCCACGTGAATGTCTGCCCATTGGCTGTCTGAACACTGCTAGGATGAAATCTCAAAGCACTTTCCTCTCTCCACCCTCCACCGGCCCAAAGCAGTGAGGCAGAGTCAGCCTACAATTTGTTCGTTCTTTTGTTCAAATGGCCCTGGAGTAGACGCTTTTCAGATTATCACAAGGTCACTATTTGTCTTACTTATCTTCCCAAACGAAGTGTAGCTGGCCCTCTTCCTTCTAGTTGAGGTTCTCCCCAAGTGGACATTAATCACAACTTTCTCTTGTCCGATGAGACTGCGGCCCTGGAACACTGATGTCAGGGAACGGGACTGCGCTTGGAGGTTTTATGGCTTGAGCTGGCCAGTCGTGATCACATTTCACCTTGCTTTTTCTGCAACAGTGTTTTGGGGATGGGTTATCTTTCCTTGGCTCTGCACATGTCTGTTCAGATGGTAGTTTTCACGTTAGGGATTTGTGTCTAAAAGGAACATCAGGTGTCCTGGGGCCCTATAGAATCTCCCTCCCCAGCTCATGTCCACCTTAACAAAGTACTGCTGAGGCATCGAGGAACAGCTCTATTAGCACTACAAGGTGTGGTTTGTGTGGTGGATAATTTTACGTCAACATGATTGGGTTTATGGTGTCCTGGCTCTCTGGTCAAGTACATTTTCAGATGTTTTCTGTGAAGGTATTTTGTAGGTGTGATTAAAATTTATAACAAGCTGGCTTTAGGTAAATGATTGTCCTCCATAATGTGGTAAAAAATGTGGGTTTCATCCAGTTAGCTGAAGGCCATAAGAATCAAAACTGAGATTTCCTGGGCAAGGAGAAACTGTCTTGGGATTGTAACATAGATATTCTGCTGGAATTTCTACCCTGCTTAATTTTCAGACTTGGCAGATCTTTTAACTGTGGGTCCAACTCCTTAAAATCAAGTAATCTCTCTTTTCCCCCTCCACATGTGTCTGTAGGGTGAATTAATTCCAACTCCCAGCAAACCTCTAGGATACATAAAGTATAAGTTTGCCACAGGCTTTCCAAAGCTGTAATCTTTACAGAAGTACATTACCACATCTTTCACTTGCTAAGTAGCTGATAAATTCAAACTATTAACCTCTCAGTTAGGAGCTGACCATGGTCACACCCAGGCTTGCATGCACACATACACACACACATAGGGAGGTCTGGGGGCACTGCTCCGCTAACCCAAAAGCCATGCCTCTCTGACGGTTTGAATCCACCAGAGACTCCATGGAGAAATATGGGAAATTTCCTCCCTCCAATTGAACTCTAGTGAGTTATCAGAGGCTGGAAATGGTGACGTCTCATCTTTCCCTCATCTTTGGCTCTAAGGTTTCTGAAACAGATTTTCTAATCTTAGACCTGAAGGTACCACTAACTCTATTTCTAGTAGTAAACAAGGCACTCATAGTCCGTGGAGTAGTGATAATAAACTCCCCAAAAACTAATCCATGGCCACTGAGTCAATCCCATAGTAACCCGATAGGATTGAACAGCAAAGCCCTCCAGGCCTTCTGACACTGTAGGTCTTTATGGAAGGCAACCTCTACATAGTTTTACCTTGGATCTGGTGGGCTCAAACTTTTGATCTTTCAGTTGAAGTTATTATTACTTAAACCACTGTGTCACATGGACATGGATGTGGCAGTGGACACTGGCAATATCTTATAGTTAATGCTCCTACTAAGTCCTCAGGGCAGCAGAGTGCTGCAAATCATTAACCACTAGCATTCTAACTGAAAGGTTGAGGGATCAAACCCACCCAGAGGCTGCTTGGAAGGTGAACTGGCTTTGCCTCTAAATGGTCATAGCCTTCAAAACTCCAAGTTGAAATCGTGAGTTGAATTCAACTTGATATGATCTATCAAGTTATTGATATATTATCTACAACAATCAACTTTAGCAGAGGTGAGGTTCTGTGTGACCATTTGCTTCACGCTTCAGAATATTTCTGTCAAATAGATCTGTGTATTGACATTGATTGGTTGTATCTAACGGAATTGAACAAAACAAGCTTCAAATTCCCAGCTTAAGTAACACATAGATGATAGTGAAGCTTTTATGTTTGTCTTGAAAGAAAGCCTCATCTTCCACAGTCACAGAGCTAGGACTGTCCTTAAAATGAACTGACTGTAAATGTTAACCACATCTACAAAATACCTCATGGATAGGCCTCATCCAAACCAGAGGATTTAGGAGCAAAGAGTGAGGTTTCCATGAGAAAGAAAGTATCCTGTCTCACAACTGTAACACAGAAACCCTACCTGTGTCTCCAGCCTGCCAGTCAGTCAGTTCTGTGGATTTCAAACTCAAGGTATTAATCTTGGGTAAGTTTCGAGCTTTCTGCCCTGTCCTTCGGATTGCAAACTACTAGCATCCACAGTTGCATGAGTCAATTCCAAACTAAATTTATGTCTCTGTGCCTTTCTCTTTCCTTGTATTAATTCTTTTTCTCTGCATATCCCTGACTGATATGGCTTGTTATATATGGGGCAATTCTGTGACATTCTAGTTACTACAGCTCCTCAGTCTCCCAACGCGATGGCTTTCATGACATACAACTTCAAGCGGCCACTGTGCTGACTGGATGGTCCCCTCTAAAACAAGTACAGTGAAAGAACTGGGCAGATCTGGACAATGAAAACACATCCAGTGGTCTCAAGGAGGCCAGGTCATTCTTTCCATTTAAATCAATCATTTGGCTTAAAAGAAAGATGACACTTTAAATTCATTACTGGGTAATTTGTGAGTAGTTGCCAGGGGGTATTCTTGTACTGTATTAACACCTACAAGTCCTATGGACTACCTGCCTCTTAAAGGATTCAAGACCAGAACACCTAATTAATCATTCAGATCCACTTCTCCACTTTAGTTTTCTTACGTCTAAAACATGGCAAACACTAATATTCTTAATGATGTTTATTTACACACAGAGTTGTGGGGAGTATAAAAATTATAGCTAACAAAAGCACTTTGAATATAGTAGGTGCTAATTATTATTATTTTAGTTGGAAGTTCAGTGTTTCGATTAAGGTACCCTGGGATCTTTGTGCTCTGATGGAAAATTATGTAATTAATTCTAAAACAGTGAGTAACACTTGATATTTCTAAGTGTTGACCTAGTTTTCTGTGCAACACTTAAGTTGTAGTATTTCACTTTCCTAATAATAGAGTATTAGAAATATCATAGTAAAACAATATGAAATAATTTAAAAGATGCATAATTTTTCCTGTTTTATGCCTATGCAATTCTCACATTTTCAGGGTTAATGACCAGCTGTGAGACTGGCAGCAGCTATTTGAAGCTGCAGGAATCCCTGGGTGCTGCCACTGACACACTCAG